GGTCATTAGCTGCACAATGCCATGCATTTCGTTGTCTGCGATTTCTTCACTTATTATGGCAAAATGTTTGTCAGTGATGTTGCATATATTTTCTAAGGCCAAGTTTGAAGTCGCAATCTAGGGACAATCAAAACTTGGTTAGGAAGCGTTTCAGTTTTGGGATTAGTGTTAGATTGGCTGTTAAGTCTCACACCTGCTTGATGGTCACAGGATCAGATCTGTTTGACCTTCATTTCCCTCTGAATGGGCATTGACTCTAGTTTGATCAAGATACGCTTGAACTCAATGTTAAAAGCAGTTATCTTTCTCTCATTGTGTCATTGCCGGGTGTGGTGCTGTTTCTCAAAGTAACAGGATTGAATTCGCGTCCTTGAAGTTTGACTTATATGTATAAGGTAGCAAACTGTTCCACTCATGCATTCAACATGACACGCTTCACATTTTCTAGCTATAATTTCCTAGGTATATTATAAATTAAAATCATTCGATTCTTATTTATTGTTTCAACCTAGAACTGATGTTCCTTAAGGTTGGAGGTCATCATCAGTATACACGTTAGCTAGAGGTTGGAAGCACCTCAGCTACTGTGCCGCAATACATAAAAAGAAAAAGGGGTAAAAATGCAACAGATGCAAGCCAGCTGAGCTACCAGTAGCGGATGGGAATCGTTCCTATAAGCTACCATCCGGTTACAATGCAGCAAACAAGATTTACTGTGCAAGGTTATATAATGCTAAGTAGTGATCGTGATTGGAGGTAGAGGCTAAGAGGGATGGGGTGGGTCAAAGTAACTCACAGCATGAACCCCATTGAGGTCGGCTCCTAGCCATGGCAGCAAGCGTATCCTACCAAACATGTTCATCGTCTTTCGGACCCAGACCAGGGAACCGAGACAATCTAACTGAGGCCAGCTTTGAAGTGATGGTCTTCATTCCTCTGGACCAAGTCATCGCTTGGCCACCTCTCCTCTTCTTCCATCCACCTTCCTCCCCCGGCGCGCAAACAACGCACGTCGCGGGAGTCGGTGGGCTGGCATGCATAACCCGTGCCGAGCCATCGGAGCATGGAGCATGGGATAACCGTGCAGAGGGGTTCGCTTCTTGTTCCTGCGCCATAAAAAAGGCGTCGAACACGTTCGTTGCTCACTCGGTGTTCCAACCAGATGTGAGCCAAATTGCAAAGGCACCGGTGGTCGAACGTAACTAGCCTCATTATGTCCGCTGATCTACTAGCCAGGTTTCACAACCGTACGGTAGGGTCGAATGTACCGCTGCATTGTGCACTCTATCCTTCAGGGCGAGAGTGATGTCGCGCCGGCGCCATAAGTGGCGAAGGCCAGCAAAAGCGCCGCGAGCTTTTGCTATACGGTTCGTGATCTCATCTTCAATCCAACGGGCGCTGATACAACTTCCCAGGTAGTTGAATTTATGAACGATTTCTAGTTGATCCCCACTAAGGGTCAGCGCAGGAAGCGGTCCAGGTCAAGCTTTGAGGAAAGCTTTGTACTTCGAGAGTGCAAAGCAAAGCCCGAAGTGACGGACAGCCAGTGCTAATCTGTCCGGTGCAGTTTCTTACGTTTGTGAGCTGTCACAGATGCGGGCAATATCGTCAGCATACTCCCAGTCAAGAATCCGTTCACTTGAGAGCAGCTCCATAAGTTCTAACTCGTGTCTTCTGAACGCGATTTCCATGACTTCGTCAATAGCGAGGTTGAAGAGGAAAGGTGGCAGCGGGCATCCTTATCTCACACTGCTGGAGATATTGAAGGGTGACGACAGCTGGCCCTAAGCCCACACTTTGCTCGAGCTCAGCAATATTTACATATTTCTCGGGTACACCTTTCCTGACTAGACAGTCCCGAAGCGCACGTCTATCCACCGAATCGAATGCACTTTTAATATCGGGGAACACGACAACGGTAGGCCGCCAATATGACTGACGGTGCTCCAACAACTGACACAAAGTGTCCTGGGTTTCACGTGTTCAGTAAAAGCTGACTAGAGCACACCTAGGTCACGTACTGACTGTATGACAGTTTACAATTACCGCACCATTAAGTATATTGTACGTCGACATTGAAATAACACTGTATTCGTCACTTAGGAATTACACTTTTCATGTGTTGCAGTTTCGTTCGCATCTTGATGCCGCCGCTGAAATTATGGTGTTTTCGTTCAAATCAACTACATCGAGGAAGGCAGCGGCGAACAGAAACGTTTTCCTGTGAGACTAAACGTGGCACTTGTCTTTAACATGGATTGGAAAACCTAGCGTTCCCAAGGCGCTACGCTGCAAAGCTCCACTAGTCACTAATTTGTGGTTTGAATCCGTGTTATTTCACCTCAGCGATTTGGTGCTATTTGTATGCTATGACTTAACCATAATATAAGGAGCCGAAACGCCGAAGACATGATCTTGGATAGTAAAGCAGGCTGAAAACCCCAGTCGATCGCTTTCTACATGTTGAAATGAACGATAATCAAAGCAAACCCCAGAGTCACGTTTTCTAGTTGCTTAAACGCATCTTCGGCAACATTTAACCTTAACGCATTCGTGTTTAGATTTATGGATAACCATAGGAGATAATAAAACGTCAACTTTTCTCTTTGCTTATTCCATCACTCTGGAAGCAAGTGACATGTCGCTGATGGTAGTTGTCGACAACTTGGGAAATGCTACATTTGTATTTTGGCATAACTGCTACTTGTATTCTGATGACATGCAATGTACAGCTCTTCAAAGAGAGGCTGTATGCATTTAGGTGGATGAATTGTATAACAGGACCACCAAACAAAGACAGGATGAAGGCTTTCAGGACCAGAATGTTGTGACATCTTTAGCGACTGCATTACTTGTGTGTATCAAAATTGGTGGTATGCAACTTCTCCCTACCTCTTGACAGTATGGTTGGGACGGGCACGTTGAGATGGTGGAGCACTCCCAGAGATGCCTGTTGGCAATCTCACACTACTCAGCTGAATCGTTGAGTACGGTTTCTTTCGGACGTACTAAAGTGGTGATAAGATCTTCTCTGGTCTTACCTCAGCCTATCAAGTAGTCTAAAGCCTGTCATTGGTTGTTAGAGCCTGGCGCTTTTCTTTCCTCAAACGGGCCTTACGCATCATTCTGTTTACTTAACTTATCTAGGGTTTCGTTAGTATGTATTAAATAGTCTTTGGTTTCTTTGTATTGAAAGCTTAGCGCTTTTAGCCCGGTGGTTGTTAGAGTCACGACGCCAGGTTTACTAGTGAAGCCACTGTGCACATCTAGGCGATAGTTCACGTTGTTGTAAAGCAGTTTGTTGGCAGTGTCAAATCCTGATGTCAGGAGAGCGTTATCCCAGTCCGTCGATCTTAATGGGAGTTGTAGCTGAATTCCGATACATTTCGTCACTTCTGGCTATGGCAAGCTGCACCGCAGTTTGCGTCCCGTGTCCCCTGTTCCTGGGTTCGTCTGAACAATCACTTATTGTGGTGACGCAGCATTCTCATGAAACAATCTGAATCACTGCGTGCGTTCGGTTTCGTGGCATTTAGCTCCAACCTCATCCTCGTTTTTTGCAATGACTTGATGCCACACAATGTTGCAACTGATCCGATCGTAGTGAGATCGCTTTTGACTGTATTTGTCTCCCCAACCATATTACGGAACCTGTTAAGCACTTGCTTTTTTACTCGTCACGAACCATTGCTCCACTACCATCTGTTATAACACAAGCTGGTCGTATGAAACAATGATTTTATATGGATAAAAAAGCTGAAGCTTAACAGGTCCCGCAGGATGATTATGGTGAAAATTCAAAATATAGGAAAAATTGTCAGCAAATATTGGTATTCGTAGTATAAAATGTAAATCCACTGTAGGTCATGGGCGTTAACGCTCTTGCGTATCCGTTTTCTGCGGTTTCCTTAGGGCTAAAGCGCACAATGTTTGTCTGCCTCCTGTTGTCACTAAGTGAGCAGAAATCAAATCAGGTAATGCGGGTGTTGTAATGCATGGTCAAGACGTTTTTTAAAAACTGGTAGCGTATGCGCAGTATTAACAAAGTCGAATGGGTCTTCAAGGGGTGACAAATTCGAAATGAGAAATATTTCCGGCGTCATTCCAGCCGACCGCATTGCGTAGCTAGTTTCAGCTGGTAACCCCACAATTTTGTGTTGCGGCTAAGTTTTAGGCGATGGCGGCAAACGTGATCAGGATTTTTTCTAGATCTGGTACATCAGAATGAGGTCGCTCCGTATACGGCGATAATTTCCACTGTACACTCCTAAAAATTTTCGTTGCAGATGGCATTGCAGGTGGAGTAGTCCCTTCACATTTTCGGCTGCCCTTCGCTGTGCGGTATCCAGTGCAACCGAGGTTGCCAGGTCTGAATCGTGTACTCCACGTGGGGCCTCATATACGCATTGAGCATTTGTGAGAAGATGGAAGGGTCGAACCGAACACCCTCCGCAAGAGACCAACTTGTTGCTTAGCGGTTTTGGACGCCTTCAAAGCCTGAACCGGACTGCCGAGGTCTTCTTGCATTACCATGTTTGTCGGCCAGCTCGTTCACTTTACATCGGTCTCATCAGTACCAGTTGTATATTCATCTGTTGTTTTCTAAATGTATTTTCTTACCAGCCATAACCCTGATCCGGAGATCCTATTCTACCACACAGCTCAGAACTTGTAGCCCAGCCACACGACCGTCGCTTCAAGCGACTGAATGGGCTCACTATGACCGTGCTTGTCGTATATCCTACTAGTCACATATGATTTACTGGGGATTGCGCAACTAAGCTTTGTATTTGTAGTCCTGTACCACGGTAGTTAACCGGGTGATCCAGCGATGCACATGCATGTATAAGTTACCAAACACAAAACAATTGTGTCGTTTTTATATATCTGTTGGCTCCAGGCGACTTTGTTGTCTACCCTCTATTTCGAACACAGGTTTGTCAATTTTGCCTTTCCGCTGTAATCTGCAATGTGCTGCACACTTCGTTTTCCCTTCGTAGATACTTTTGCGAGCAAAGTTGCAGCAGTCAGTGATCCCGATGCGGATTCATCCATCGGAAATGTGACTGGCAGTAACGCTGTCAATGTGTTCCTGGGCATCGGTGTAGCATGGACAATGGCAGCCATCTACCACGCAACCCAGGGCACTCAATTCATGGTGCAACCCGGTTCTCTCGGTTTCTCCGTCACTGTTTTCTGCATTTTCGCCCTAGCCGCTATTCTCGTCATCATACTGCGACGTCGACCAAATGTTGGTGGGGAATTGGGCGGTCCTACGCGCATCAAATACCTCTCTGCTGCGTTCTTTCTCCTTCTGTGGTTCGTGTACATCGTTCTAGCTGGGTTGGAAAATTACTGCCACATAGAGGGATTTTAAACCGACAACTTTGTTCTAGCTTTTTACTGCCTAGAGCTGTTTGTTGCTGATGCATCCATAACCATGTGTCATTCAGCAGCTTTCCTGTCGCGCCCTATAACCTCCCTCATTCTACGTATCCTCTGCAACTTCTACGTCTTTGGTAGCAGTGAACAGATGGTTGGATGCAAACCATGTACACCAAATTCCACAGTTATTTTGCAAATTCTACAGACAGACTCGGCGGTTTTCTCACTCCCCCCAACTCGTCCGTTCCGTCACTTTATGCGGCGTACAGAGTCACGGACAGTGACACGGTTACATTGATGTTCTCAACGCACATTCGCTGAAAGCGGGCATGTTGTCAATGGCGTGGCCGTTTTTATAAGTCTCTGATGCACCGAGACAGGTTTATGTTCTCTCTTCTGTCGATCGTGTCTGCGCACATGGCCCCTATGTACCGGGTCCCAATACCACTTTCACTCCTTTTTATTGCCCTTCACATACTTCGGTTCTATTCACGCTATATCTTCTCAAAGATCAGATTTTAACCTTATTCTATTACGCATACATATATACAGAGTACCAGTTACGTTCAGCACAAGTCTACTCAGAATATTTTAGCTTTTACCGGTTACTTATGCAAACACATGTTGATTTGCCACTCACCATTAGCTGTTTTCTTACTTCCCATTTACTGAAACCTAGCTGTTTACACTTGATGGCTTGTTGCCTTTCGCCATCGGTTTTACTAATTTTATACTGGAATTTTCTCCTTTACGTTTCCATTTGTGCAGTGACCGTTTTGCCTGACTTTTAAGCGCCCTGTTGTTTACTTGAGATCATCAGGTGTGTTATTTACCAACTTCCTAACCCACTTATTTAAGCATTGATTCTCAACGCTTAACACTGAGTTACGAGGACTGCTGCGCCAACGGTCTCCAAATAACTTTCCAACCTCAGTGTCAATCATTGCCAACCTAACAATCCAATTTTGCTGTCAACCCTTACTCCTTTTATGAATAGAGACACAGAGCTAACCCCAACTTCGTCTTTACTTTTGCTTCACATTTTGCTAACCATTCGGGTCCCATGCAGTTGGTCGCGTGATGCATTTTGATGGGTTTTCAAACCGATTGATCGATCTTGGCTCTCACCATGGCACTCGACATAATTAATGTACCTTTCTTCTCAGAGCGGTACCTGTCTTTTGATCACGCTTCGTTCGTGAGCTCTGATAGCGGTGTGCCAACTCGCTGGTCCATCCCGTGAGAGTTTGTGGAATTCGTCATGTGTCTGCAATCGCTGCATCAAGTCAGCTGTGTGGTTGACAACCTAATAGTTTTCTAGTAACTTTCTTACCGTGATATTGGCGGTGTGCATTACCGTCTGTTACGGTCACCTGTTCATGTGTTTGGTGCCACACTGGTTACTCTGAATTCAGTTTCGACACCAAAACGCTCGTTGCTTTCCGTTCTGAAATTCTCTTAACATACTCGGCATTCTAATGCACAAACCACACTAGCTGGCTCTTTCTCATGACACCCGTCCGAGTTGTCTCCGAGAGAAAGACGTATCGCTATATACTTGATTGTCCGGGCATTTTCCCCCGCCTTAACTATGCTTCTCCTTCCCATTTTCACTGCGTTAATTTGGCAAAGTTGAGATAATTGATGCCTGTGTTTTCTCTGCCGGTGACTCTTTCGGATGGCTAGTGTGCAACTAATATTCTGTATAGACTACTGATATTCTCCTTCATCCTATTAGTAAATTTTCTTTCATATAGGTCTGGGTTCTGGAGACGGATGGCGATCGCTTCGGCTGTTGCTAATAGGCGACATCTTACCGCTCGTGTGTAGCATCTAGAAACTGGTAAATTGGCTGGAAACTTTGGTGCCTATCGATCCGGTGGTTAAAATCAACTAGATGTGCCAACACGGCGCTTGTCACTGTTTTAGTTCCACCTGTACATAGCCAACTCGGGCAACGCTCACGGATTCTCGCAGACAGTCTCCTGGTTGTTCTTTCGATATAACTTGCTCGACATGAACAAGTAGAGAAGTATACACAGAAAGAAGTACTTGACCGGGGAAGTCTGTCCTTGAGTTGAAGCCTTACGATTGGTGTTGAAGTAAATCTTAGTCGTAGGCTTGCCGCGCAGTACGTACGGTTTATGGCGTCGGATAACCTTCTAAACATTGCCTGCGCTATTCCATCCCCTTTGAACGGCAACGACAGATAAACCGAATCGATTTTAGCCATCGATTCTCGGCACTCCATATTTCTCCGAACAAACTTTTCGGGATAGCCGTTTCTCGCAAAAAGGCTAGCTAAGAAATTCAGCTCGTCCGAAAGCATGTCCTCACTACATATCCTTCTTACCCTTTCGCTTAAACATCTAATCAAGTTCCGCTTCTGACTTAGTGGGAAAAAGCTGGCAAATTGTATGTATTGTCCATTCCAAGTGGCTTTTCTGTGCACCCTGCGTTGGATCGACCCATCTGATCTTCTGCTAATTTGGACGTCTAGGAAAGACATCGTACCATGACGTTCAGTTTCCAAGGTAAACTTACCGTTGTCGTGCGCTGAGTTAAAAAGGGATAGAATTTGCTCTGTGTAGCATTGACTGTCTGTCACACAAAATATCTCATCCACATATCGGCCGCAATAGGGTAATACGCTAATGACTCCTATCAGGTAGTTGTTTTCTAATTTGCTCATGAATACATGTGCCAGCAGCGGTCCTAGCGATGAGCCCATCACTACTCCGTCTTTTTGTCTGTATATTACCCCATTAAACTGAAATTGTATGTTGCTAATACACAGCATGAGTAGCTGTTTCAACCGATTGTTCGACAGGCCGACGTTCAACTGGTGTGCTCGAATGGTGTCGCGTAACTAGTCTATTGTCTCTTCTAAAGGAACATTCGTGAAGAGCGACACAACGTCCAACGAAAACATCTTTCTTCCGGTTAGGTTAAGATGTTTTATACTGTCTAAAAGGCTGAATGTATCACGTAGACTAGACATGGATAAAACTTTTCTTACTGGTTCTAAAAGCTTGGCTAGCCACTTGGCTGTTGCGTGGTAAGGTGAGCTGCACATGTCCAAATATGGGTCTAAGTGGAAGCCCCTCCTGATGTACTTTTGGCACGCAATAAAGTCTCGGAATTACCGTCTCCGTGGGTCGAAGTTGTTCGAACGTGGTAGAGTTAATCGAGTTTTCTTGTTTCAATTGCCACAGAAGCCTAGTAACTGTCTTTTCTATTGCCACTGTTTTGTCCCTCTCATTCTCCATTTTACGAAACTTTGCGCGATCGCTGAGGATGACCTCCATCTTGTCAATATAGTCAGCTTTCTCCATCAGAACGATCCCTGCCCCTTTATCCGGCCTAGAGAGTAGCACATTCTCGTTTTGTTTGAGAGCGTCTAGATGGTCTTTCTTCAGCAAGTACCTGAGTTTGGGTTTGTGCTTCAGATACTGATAACATGTATTAATCAGGATAGATTTAAAATACTCGGACGCTAATGCTGACGAAGGCGTAAGGGTAGACACTTGAGAATACAAATTTTCGAACTGTGATTCTAGTTGTCCTGAATAACTACGGGGACAGCAAAATTCGAACCAAGTGAAAGTACTTCTAACAGTGTCTTATCCAGATGCAACGAGGAAAAATTGTGAACGTACTTTTCCGGGTCGGGTGGAAATAAAGTGCTTGCCTTAGTCGTGCCAACTTGTCACTGTAATGACGCTAGACGCTTTTCTTGTTGCTTTGGAATTATTTGTTGAACAAATGTCTCGAATCGCTTGCGTTCATCTGCGTCCAGCATGACGGAATACGCGCACCGTTTACGCTCCATATCATCAAGTCTCGAAGTAATGGTGTCACGATCGTTCAACGTGTGTCGTTTCAAAGCCACATTAGTCGGATTAATCCGATTTCGTCCGAGTATTCTCCAAAACTGAAGTCTACACCTGGGATATTTACTCACTTGAAACAGTCCAAGGATCCCGTTGCGCTCAAAGGATTTAATCAGTATGTTAAGTTTTGCACAAACCTTGCGGTAGCGAAAACATCGGTGCAATTCTTTGATGATTGTATTTTACGTCGCGAAAATCCCAAACAATTTTGGAATGGACAATACATACATTTTGCCAGCTTTTTCCCACTGAGTCAGAAGCGGAACTTGATTAGATGTTTAAGCGAAAGGGCAAGAAGGATATGTAGTGAGGACATGCTTTCGGACGAGCTGAATTTCTTAGCTAGCCTTTTTGCGAGAAACGGCTATCCCGAAAAGTTTGTTCGGAGAAATATGGAGTGCCGAGAATCGATGGCTAAAATCGATTCGGTTTATCTGTCGTTGCCGTTCAAAGGGGATGGAATAGCGCAGGCAATGTTTAGAAGGTTATCCGACGCCATAAACCGTACGTACTGCGCGGCAAGCCTACGACTAAGATTTACTTCAACACCAATCGTAAGGCTTCAACTCAAGGACAGACTTCCTCGGTCAAGTACTTCTTTCTGTGTATACTTCTCTACTTGTTCATGTCGAGCAAGTTATATCGAAAGAACAACCAAGAGACTGTCTGCGAGAATACGTGAGCGTTGCCCGAGTTGGCTATGTACAGGTGGAACTAAAACAGTGACAAGCGCCGTGTTGGCACATCTAGTTGATTTTAACCACCGGATCGATAGGCACCAAAGTTTCCAGCCAATTTACCGTGTATCTGGATGCTACACACGAGCGGTAAGATGTCGCCTATTAGCAACAGCCGAAGCGATCGCCATTCGTCTCCAGAACCCAGACCTATATGCACAAAACTGTTCTTCGAAATTCTCTGACATCCCTTGCCCCTTATTATAGTAAATTTTTGTTGATGCGCTTCCTAGTGGCTGTGTTTACTGAATGTAGGTTATATTCACCAATGAATATTTTCTCCCACTTACGCACTCCTGGTGATTTTTATTACATTTAAGGCCACTTTGTGCTTCGTATTTTTTACGCGGCACTTATTTCCTGGTCGTCTACTTTGAATGATCTTGTGATCTTTCTAACCGTTGTTTTAGGATTGCCCGGCTTCGGCAGTCAGTCAGCTACATAAGCTGATTATGGGTCGATTATACGGATTTCCGCTGCTTATGAGGTCCATAGTGTGCATTTATTTCCCTTGGAGTAACTTGGTCAATTTTTTGCACGTAATCTGTATATGTGCCAGAGATGTGTAGTCAGTATCATTCACTCTGAACGGATAGCATACGAAATAGATTTGTTCTCTCTCATCTATATTTTGCCAAGCTCGGCGGGCGTTTGAACAACTGGACAGTCAGCCCGAACTACCAGTATTTCAAATCATTTTATCCTTCTTTTGGTATTTTGTTTTCATCTGTATACTATGTTTTATATCGACAGCGGCCTTCGCGTGCTTCTACCCAGTTTGCCATAGTGCCTGCTTTATCCAGAGGGCATTATGGTTCGCTGCATATGGGTACTCATTTTGGCTCACCAACTAGCTCAGGTGACTGAATCAGCTTACTTCTTTGGTGCATTTTTGACATACTAGGAGCAGAACCGTCATAGATCCGTTGCTGCTTTAAGCTTCTGGCTGCCCGCCCGGTTGATTTGTCGCCAAGGTGGCGGGCCTTCCCTATAGTGTAAATGCATAAGCGGCCGGGATTTCTTACTTCTCTCTCTCCCACGTTGCAGTCTAATCGGCTTTTTGACTTGGTAACTAGTTCACCTTCCGTTAGGCAACGCCACCCTCAACGTTTTGAAACTAGTTTTTATTGTGCAACCACTTAGTTCAATAGTTTTCTGCGTAGCTTTTTTTCGAAACTGTCACCGTCGTTTAATTCAATTTGAGTTCTCATTCCTTTCATTTTGTGGGATGAATCTTTGCTACGTGAAGGCATGTCACTCACCGCCAGGGCTATCGCATCCAGATGATGGCTCATTTTTTCTTATACACCGATTTTCTTGTTTTCTCCTACTCATGCCATCCTTTCGTCACACATCTTAATTAGAGTAACATATTTTACTACTGT